GCCACAGCAAATTGACACTGAGTGTCCAAGGCCAGGGCACCCGCCCAGAGCCTCTTTCTAGAGGTCGTTGTATTTATTTCCACAACGGGCCTTTTTCCTTGTGTGTGTGTGTGTGTGTGTGTGTGTGTGTGTATATATATATAAAAATAAAACCTTTTGCTTGGGTGGGGTTGCCAACCTCCAGGTGGGCCCCGGGGATCTCCTAGAATTGCAACTGATTTCCAGACTCCAGAGATCGGTTCCCCAGGAGAAAATGGCTGCTTTGGAGAGTGGGCTGTATGGCACTGTACCCCACTGAGGTCCCTGTCCTCCCAAACTGCGCCCTCCCCAATCTCCACCCTCATTATCTCCAGGAATTTTACAGCCTGGAGCTGGCAACCCTACTCAGGGGAGGTGCCAACACCTGAGTGCACCTGAAGTTCTGTAGCTTTTTGGATCCGGGCTCATATTTAGGATCCTTGTAGCAAACAAGAACTGAGGAGAAGAGAATGACGTAAGCCGCCTTGGGTCCCTGTTAAGGAGAAAGGCGGGGTAATAAATGCATTAAATAAACCTACAGAGTCATTGTCAGTAATGGATAGTGGCTGGCAGTGAGCCTATCAGTAGCTGGAACTTCTAGCATTCTTTTGAAAAGAAAGATGAAAACCCCACTCAGCAGGCGTGTTCAGTGCGGGATTTCTTAGAGCCAAGATAATGGAGACCAGTGCACCCTCTAGCTGTGGAGTCTTGTGAGCAAAAATTCTACTTTGTGAGCAGCTGGCATTAAAGTTGTGAGCGAGTGATTTGGCTGCTGCATACATTACTTGGCTCTAGAGCCATCCTTCCTGAGCTAAGACAAAAATGTGTGAGCGGAGGCTAAAAACTGTGAGCTGGCTCACACTCACTCAGCTTAGCGGGAACACTGATGGGGACACCGAGGAGGGAGCCCTGTATGCATGCTCTCTTGTCTTCTCTGTCAATAGAGAGAGGAAACACGAGGTCGTCCCGGCTTGTTCTTCCTTTTTGCTGACCCTGAGGGTTTCACCTAAGGCAAGAAACGGTGGTAAGTTCCCCACTGGAAGGAATAGGGGTGTTTTCAAAAATTCACAGCGATGTCCTTCCAGTTTGAAAATTGCCATTTGTGGGCCGGCGTTTCCCTGTTCACGATGAACCTGCAGTTGGTTCAGAGTGCTGGGCAAGTATCTGGGAGACCCAGGTTCGAATCCCTACTTGTGCCGTGGAAGCTGTCTGGGTGACCTTGGGCAAGTCGTGCTCTCTCAGCCTAACCTACCTCACAGGGTTGTTGTGGGGGAAGAGGAGAATGAGGGAAGCCGCTTTGGGTCCCCATCGGGAAGGAAGGCGGGGTAGAAATTAAGTAAATAAATAAGAAGCGACACAACTAATTCTGGCTAATATGGCTGTCTGTTCTTGCATGAAAAGGGTATAAAACAAATTTGCAAAGTAAGCACACTAGCAAAGGAATCAGGCAGCATGGAAATACTTGCAGCAGATATCTAGGGGGGACGGGGACAGTGCATTCCTGAACCCTTAAAAATGAATGGGCTCTGCTGCACAAGAGCATTTGATGCACAGGAGAATTTTCTTCTGGGCATTTGACAGTAGTGACCCGCACACCTCATGAAATAACTGGAATACTAATCTAGGTTTGCCACGGCTGCTGCGTGCCCCCCACCCCCTCCGGTAGCCTTTGGCCTCTGCTTCCAAGGACAGGGAGTGAATCTTTCAGTATCTTTTTCTGTTCCCTCCTTGGCTGTTGCTTCCTCGTCATAGCAACAGAGTGGTTGTTTGTTCGAGTTGCTAAGGTTTCTCCTTTGGCACAATCGGGTCTGGCTTACGCAGCTGAAGGTAATTACACAGCTGCCGGGTGTCGGTGGAAGGAAAAGCAGGAAAGAGACTCCACCTGACCCGAAGCAGGAGTCCTTCAGAGAAGGTGGGAGAAACTGGCAAATCGTGGCAAGGCCCACGGTGGCTGGCGAGGGCTGCTTCGTTGGCCAGTCGCCTGGCTGTGGGTCAGTGCAGGGACGCAAAGTTCTGGAGCAGCATGAACTAGAGGTGATACCGAATTTCCCGGCTGTGTCGTTTTTTGGCTTCCTTTCTCCCCTATGCAGACTGAAGACCTGAGTTGTTGATTATGCACTCTCCTCTCTTTTCCTCCTGCCAACTTTTTTCCCTGTTAATCCTGCAGATTTCACCATCCTGTTTGTGTTCTTTTCAGCATGCAGGTGGTGTAGCATTCCACGTGTTTGATTCCCCGCTTGTTCCCTGGGTACAGGAGACCTGTGAGTATTTGTTTTTGCATTACTTCTAGCGCCTTGCATTGAATTTTTCCTGAACAAATTGTGTCCATTCAAATATTTTGTATTGGTTGGATGTAAACAAGCAAAATGTGTTCTCGTGACAACGATCAACAAAAAAGAATTGATCAAAGGCGTATTTGTTCATCCCCTCTGCTATCCAGGATTGGTTTCCGAGGGAATGAGTCCGCCCTGGAGTTTGACAGCGATTTTTGTAGCATTCGCTTTATTCGTTTTTTAAAAAACGATTTACACCCTGATTTTCTCCCCAGTCATGGCCCAAAGTAACTTAAAATGGCATTCTCTTCTCCTCCATCTTATTCCCACAACAGCCCTATGAGGTGGGTTGAGAGGAGAGCGTGTGATTGGCCCAAAGTCACCCAGCAAGCTTTCATGGCAGGAGTGGGGATTCGAACCTGGGTCTTCCCGATCCTACTCCAACGCTCTTAACGACTGGCTCTTATTGATGTATATTTTGTATTATTTACAGATATTAATCAGTAGAAAAGGCAAAGAGGGACATCTAATCCCTGGAGAGACTAAAGGTGCACTCCAAAGTGCTCCATCTTCCCATAACTCATAGGTTGTGCGGCTTCTGATCCAGTCACAAACCCCTGCTGGCTGCTCCCTCTTTCTCCCCTCCTACCGCTGTTCCCTCTCCTCCACCACAGGTGTGCATCACTGCCTCCAAACCCTGATCCATTCTTGAGCAAGAAAAGGAGAGGGGGGGTCTGGAAACGGGTCCTGACCAGTGTTCCCTCTAAGCTGAGTTAGTGCGAGCTAGCTCAGTTTTTTTAGCCTCCGGCCCACACATTTTTGTCTTAGCTCAGGAAGGGATGGCTCCAGAACAAACTAATTTATGCAGCAGCCAAATCGCTCGCTCACAACTTTGATGCCAGGAGCTCACAAAGTAGCATTTTTGCTCACAAGACTCTGCAGCTTATTATTATTATTATTATTATTATTATTATTATTATTATTATTATTATTCAGGGCTGTTTTTGTAGCAGGTACTCATTTGCATCTTAAGCGACACACCCCTAATGTAGCCAATCCTCCAAGAGCTTACAGTAGCTCCTGTAAGAAGAGCTCTGTAAGCTCTTGGAGGATTGGCTACATTAGGGGTGTGTGGCCTAATATGCAAAGGAGTTCCTGCTACAAAAAGAGCCCTTGCCGCTCACCGTTCATGCCGCCGCTACACCGCAAGGGACGGGTGCCCCCCCCCGCTCTAAGAGCAGGTACCCATTTGTCTATTTGCCCTTTAACAGGCTTTCGAGCTGCTGGGTGGGCGGGAGCTGGGACATAGGGCCGGGTGCTCACCCCGGCCCCGGTGGGGCTCGAACAGCCGAAGATGTTCAGCCAGATGTCAATGCAGGCTTCACTTACCGCCTGCGCCACCGCTCCCTTTTATTAGAGGGAACATTGGCCTGACAACTAGATCCCTTTTCCTCACAATTAGCTCCTGATGAGGAAACTTCAGCAGTCATTTAAGAAACTTTTGTGGCCCTCTATCAAATACCCCTGGCTCTCAGGAGAGATCTATTTGTTGGATTCTGTGGACTTGATACTGCCAGGGAACCACGGAAAAAACAGCAGAGTGCTCAAAGGCTTTAACGCAGCAGAGCTTATGGCTAGGGGTGGCAACAGACTGACAAAATCACACGGAGACAGCAATCAGTTCTGAAACTAATAAGCAGGGGTAATTTCATAGAAAAAGAGGTGCAGGAGCTCATTAGCATAACTCATTAGCATAACTCATTTGCATATGCCACACCCCCTGACATCACCGGAAGTGTGTCAGAAGGCAACACCCACCCC